ATATATATATCTTTTTATAATTTAGAAACTATGTTTTCTTAGTCTTATTTTTACAGTCTATTTTCTTTTTTTGTTTTTGTTTTAAAACACTGTTTTATTTATATCCGGATATTTATTTATTTCGCGTTTTATTTATTTCGCGGATATAAATTTAAAAAAAGTATTGAAGATACAGCAGAGTAAATAAAGCTCAAGAAATACTAATTAATAGAAAACTTTGCCAGTATTTTCTACGAATTCTGCGAAACATGCACGAAAAGCTAGCTATTCGTACCTACGTCCCCGCAATCGATTTCGTGGTCCATTGAGATGGTCCAGCGCTGTATGGCGACCGCCATACGGCCGCGGCACCGTGAATATTTCACGACGCGATCGTGAAATTCCGAGGCGCGGAATAACTTCGCGCGCAAATATCAGAGACCGATATATTGAATAGTAGGGATAATCTTTCTTGCCGATGCGCGCCATTATCCCAGGTAAATTGGTATCCATTGTTTGTTGATGGGACTGCTAATTACCAGGCGCCGCGCGCGCACTGACGTCCTAAAGGGTTCGGGGATTAAGTAGATCGGTAGGTATTAGTCTGCGGTCGCTGGTAAATGCGTACTGTCTGCTACAGACTGTTCCTTCCAATAAGTTTCCTTAATGCGCCTCTATCCGCGCGTGTATCGGAATACCAAGATTAATACTCCCACGTATGCCGCTGCAGGCTACAGGCGGCGTCGCGCGTCGCTTCTGCCCGGGGATTTTCGGCGATTATACGCGTCACTCGTCATTTAAGCCCCGTAGCGATTTTAACGATCGAGCGCGGAAAGTCTGTCGCTTAAACAATTCCGATTAAAACCGGATTAATTCCGGTAAAGCAAATGATCAATATGTATTTAATAAAAAAAAAAGAACCAAATCCCCTTGTTACGCACTACGCAGTGCGTATATTTATAATATTGGTTGATTATCAGGATGAAAAATGCAATTTCTGTCAGATAATAAATTGAAATATGGAAAACGTGGCCGAAATTAGCCTCAATAAAATTAAAATTTGAGTTCTACGTTAATTAACAGACACATTTTAATTTTAAAATGTGACATAAACGCCGAGGTTTGAAATTCTACCTAAAATATGTATATACATATATCCTGTCTTTTTAATCTTTAATTATATTTCTCTAAAATCCGCAGTTGAAAATTTAACTTTTAAATTTCGATTCGGAATCTCGCGTTTAAGCTTTATGTTATTTACATCCACAGATAGCTAATTCTGAATTTACGTGTACATAATATAATATTCTGAATATATTAACAAATTTGTATTTAAATGTAAATGAGAATGTGACACAAAGTGCAGCAACCGCCTTACAACCGCCTGCTTACTGCCGTCGAAACGAGGGTGTGAAAGAGAGCAACTATTAGGATCGTCGCACTAATTACTATTATTCGGGACGAGCGCTGCTCTGCAGATGAGACGGCGTATTCACATTGGGACAGTCAATAGGCCCAATAACGGGCTCTATCCTGAATGGACAGAGCTTTCAGCTACTGTGGCGTTGTGATATCTGTGAGACCGAGTGCACGTGGTAATGGATTCCCGGAAGGGTTGAAATTAATTATAGAACGTTGTAGCTATTACAAAGGGAGTGCGCAGCGTTGGAAGCTAAAGTGGAATGAGCTGCCGAGGAGGTGAACCTTGTTACTTGCAGGTTGCAATGCGAATTTACACGTTTATACATCCGTTACGGGGGGTTTGTCAGCCGGCATTGAATGTTACTGATACCGCAGGCTGACGAGTGTGATTTAATTTTGGGAATATTAGGTTACAAAGATTTTCTGCAATTATAAACGCCAATAAAAGAATTATTTGCGAATATTGGAGAGAAAGAAATTATTAAACGAGACAAATCCCTCCCTCCCAGATTATTACATTATTTTATCGTTGTTACCGTACGTTTACTACATGTATGTCAATCAATTTTATATATATATATATAAAATATTGTCACATTACATTTACACTTTGTAACAATTCGGTATTTTTAATTTAATATTTCAATTATCTGTTTTCTTTGATATATATATATATATATATCAAAGAAAACAGATAATTGAAATATTAAATTAAAAATACCGAATTGTTACAAAGTGTAAATGTAATGTGACAATATTTTCAACGGAGATTAATTATTAAAAATATTCTAATTATTCCAACACAATAGAAAAAATGCAATACTTTAAATGCTAAATATAATAAAATAAAGTTCGAAACATATCTGCGGACTCGCAATCCCGATACCACTGGAGAACGGCACAATTTTACGATAAAGAACGGCTCGGAAGTATGGCCGTTGCTTTTCGTGAATTAAATCGACCGCGTACGTGCTTCGTATCGAAAGCTTGGCCAATTTTACTCCGATGGCAGGTGTACAAGCGTAGGCAGAGGTTTATGCAAGAGAAATGAACGGCACTTCCGCGAGCGTCCAATTCCGCGGGACTGCATTCAATGCGCAATACTTTCGCATAGTACATAAGGCGCGCGATTTATGACAACAAGCGCTCGCATCCTGTCGGATATTTCCAGGTTCTTTATGCTCCCGAAAGGTGAGCGCACAAGAAAATTGTGACGTAAATTAATACAAAAGAACGAAAGCACGAACGTTATAACATGTTGAACATTAATATACTTTAAACTATCATAATTAAAAATTTAATAATTAAAGACTTAATAAGATATTTTGTAAAGTAATAAAGCATATTCAAATAACGCCTTATTTTTAAAATAAGGTAAAAATATTTATTTTTGTTTATGGTAGAGAAAAATAATGAAAGACTGAAATTTAATTATCGAACTTATTAATACAAAATATAACGCTGTTTATTAAAGTTAAAATTAAACTGTATTTCTATAACAATAGTAATAATGGTTAATTTAATTATCATATCTCTCTCTCTCTCTCTTTCTATTGTGTTTCGTAATGTTTATTTGACCCTATTAATGTTTCGCATGTTCGTCGGTTGTTAAAATTATTTATGATACTACAATTTTCACTAATTTTACATGAAATAGCATGCTACACTGTTTCATTATGCATGATGTAAAAGAGCTATTGATATGTACGAATATATGAATTTGTAACGTACGCCCGCGTAAACGTGCCAGTGTACGAATATTACAAATTGCCAACGTAACAGAATTGCTAATCGCGTAATATTACAGGCCGGTGTTTTCGTTGGCTTAATGAACATCCGCGACGACGAGTGCCGCTAATGGTGCTGTTAGGCCGTCGGCAGTTCGCATTGCTCGTCGCTCGAGTGGAAATTAGCGGTATACGAACGACATGCAAGGAGATTGCAAACAGCAACGGGCGGTACCGGACAACGTTCTTCTTCCGCAATAATCTGACTCGGTTCTACGAGCTTGCCATTGTATTTCTTTCACAATACGTTTGTTAACTGTTCTCGGGCAGCTGAACTGCGAGCGAGCGAAGAAAACAACGCACCGTGGAAAAATAAAGATAGAATTAGAGCAATACTAAAAGAGCAAGTAGCGTGGGAAGAAGAGAAAATACATGTAGGCGAGAGGAGAGAAAAAAGAAAAACAATTATTTATATTCTAAATTAATATTTTATCAGTTGAAAAGAAAATCTTAGACTTGAACAAAATGAGAAAAATTTTTCTGTAACTCTAATTAAATAACAACTAATTACTGTAAATTTAATAGATAAATAAATATATATATTTATAATAATAAAATGTATTTGAATCTGTTTCTCATGTAAACAGTTTGATAGTATAATAACTTATAAAATTGGATATATTTTTCAAGCAAGAATAAATAATGTAACATTTGTTGTGAAAAGATAAATTGTAAAAGATAAATCTGCTAAAGTTAATTATTTTTGTGTATATTTATTATTACTTATAATGATATAAAATAATATAATCTGCCGATATATGTTGAAAAGCTATACGTGTCGCATTTAAAAAAAGTTGGGAAACGCTGCCCCGGAGCGAGAAAAAAGAACGCTAAACAAGGATAGGAAAGGGGCAGGAGAAAGGGGTGACAAGGGGAGTGAGGGGGCTCGCGTGCGTTTGTTTGTTGTTCCCTTTGCGCTTTCATTCGGTTTCGTTCGCTCGAGCTTTTCGGTCGCGTCGTGGAGCTTTGTTTTATGGCGGCACGGCCCGAGCCACCCGCCCCCGCGAAAAAGGGTGGAGGGTTGAAAGAAAGGCGCGGCACTGCTTAACCAAATTGCGCGGAATAAAATTTGCATTTTATTGCGCGCGATTCCTGAACGCGAGTTCCCGTCGCGGACGTGGAAAACTCCCGTCTGCCATCGCGACTATCATCCGGGGCGGTAATTCCCCGATTTCTTTCCGCGATATGAACACGGCGTCGCCATTTGATCCGTCGGTTGGTTCCCACGGCGAATCGACCAGCGGAATAAAAATTCATACGTGTCTGATTCCACGACTAATCATCGATTCCGATCGGCTATCAGAATTGTAAAAATTTTGATTTTATAAAGAGCATCTCCCAGACATTGATTTAGCATAAATTTGGGGGATGATAAATTTGGTCACACAAAATAGCAGACAGTTTTAGAAAGTTCGACATGTAAGATCGGCTTAGACACGTAATAAATCCTACAGATAATAAAATGCCGAATTTCTCACTTATCAGTAGACTGAATACGAAACGGATCGCCAGCTTTCTAGAAGATCTCTCGTTCCATACTCTTCTGATCGATGCTGACTTCGATATCACGGAGCACACCACTTTATGCAAACCCGAGGGCATTCGTCTCGAGTCTACGCAACGAGCACAGCTGCAGTCTCGCAAGATGGATATTTCTTCTTACCAAATGGCGTTCTGATAAGAGAATTCGTTTTCCACATCAGCGACGTGAGGACGAAACTAGAGGTGAAAGGGTGGCGGTGAAAAAGGAAAAGGTGTAGGAAAAGGGACAATACGAAAAGAGAGATAAGTGACGAAGAGGAGGGGGGGAGCAGAGAGGGACATCCGATTCGATATTCTATCGAGATAGCCGACATTTTTCAGTGTGCCCATGGTCACGAACATTTTTCGAGGCAATGGGCTTCCCAACCTTCGGCACATATCTATATATCTGTAGTTATATACAGCCGCGTGTACATGCAGGGTGTTCGAAAACTATCGTCTCTCGTTTCATATACAAATTTTCTTACCAATCGAGAATCGATTTTCCCTTACATCAAGATGTCGGTAGTTTTTTTTTTACATTGAAATGGCGTAACCGAAATTATCGAATAAATGGAAAAACACCACACATGTGTGCAATTTAATTAAAAATGATTAATTTTACTAATAGAATTATAGATCCTTCAATCGAAATAATAAATATTTCTGAAATAAAATTAATAGTAATATTATTGTAAAATCATTGAAAAATTAAAAATGCAAACAAGTAACAAAATAGTTTGCTTATTCGCTTAATTTCAAAAGATATTTTATGTCATACATAATAAAATTATAATTTTAGTCTTAATTATAAATCTATTTATATATATTTGCAAATTAAAAAATTTATTTAAAAGATTTTGATCGATATCATCAAATCGATTATTCATCGGTATTCGCCATTTACGCCAGTTCATACTTTCGTGAAAATGAAACCTCGTAAATCCTTGCACAGAATATCTGAAATTAGGAATCATAGCACGAACGATGCGTAAATGATACAGAATGCTGCTGCTCGTTACTTTCCGACTCGCAGGAATTTTCGCTCGTGCGAAACACGGACCTATAATTATTCGTGAGCTATCGCCGTGAGTCATCGGATCGAATGTTCGTCGTTTCCAAGGTGATGATCCAAATCATGATCGTATGCATCACCAAGTGACGCGCTGCCACAGAGTCGAATAATTTTAATAGAAAAATAACAATTAATTATTATTAATATACAGTAGTCATTAATTAAAATTAAATACTCAACAAAAATTGTTACAAAAAATCAATAACAATAAATTTATTCACATGTCAAGGAATGTTTTTTAATCTTAGATAAATATTAGTTGTATTCTATCGACGGGGAAGAGGAGCTGCAGAGAAAGGGCCGCGTAAATAACATTAGTTACGTATCAAATTTATAAGCAAATCATAAAAATGCGAAAATCCGGGGTGAGCCCACATCGGCTGTTTTAGCCGCAATAACAAAGCGCAGTTGAAATCGCATCAGTCTCTCCCCTTTGGACCACCTACGCGAGAGAAATCGCGTATTCGTCTGTCTGCTTCGCCTGCTAACCTCTCCTTTTCATCGCGTATGTCGAATTCCGAATCGGGATACGAAAATAATGCCGAGACTCCGAACCGCCATAAAGAGGATCTCTCGTGCGGTATGAGCCGTTCTCGGGCGCGCATTCCGACGACAAGTGGCTTTTATATGCATATTAGAGACGAGAGGGCTGTTTTGCATGCCGACGAACGCTGATAAACAGAAGTCGAATGCTTGGAAAGTCGAAAGAAATATATCATGCGGGCGCGGCTTTGTTAAAGGCGAATAAGTTATTCGTCGAGCGACCTGACCTCTTTCGTTGTACAGCATTCAATTCAGTTGTATTCAGATGTACACACACACACACACACACACACACACACACACACACACACACACACACACACACACTAGAAAATTAACGTTAGCTTTTTAATAGCTAATACTATAAAATGTGATTTTATTTGCATTAAAAAGATTAAAATCTGTGAATATTTTTGCAGCTGATCGATCGTTCAATGTTTATTAACAAATACACGCGGTACACGAACGGTAAAAGCTTTGTGGATTTTCGATTGTAAAACAGAAGGAAAATAATGGCGAGCGTTACGCGGACGCACGGGCGGAGGCCGAAATTTGATCAAAATCGCGACTCTCTCCGATACATTTTGGTTCACCGAGGGGAGACACTATTTCAACCAGGCACGTTTACCACATATAAACCATTTCCTTCGTTTTGCGTCTACGCACACGTTGCGATAACACGTGCCGCACGTTTCGCTGCCGATCCAATCGCCGTTTTCGATGGTCCGTTTGTCATAATAATCCAAGGACGGAAGCCGCGGTCGTTACTTTCATATCACTGGTTTCATACGGTCGTTTCTCTCACAAATCTGCCGTTAACTCTTTTTATCACCATCTATTTTCTAAAAATCATATTTCACGATATTTATCTTAGCGGTAACTGTGTAATTTCCTTTTTTGCACTTGATTCAAATCAAAATTTAAATAAAAAAATATAATGTTTACGATATAAACAAACCAACATCTATCGTATGTTATTTGTTTTCACTTTACTAATTAATTAACTTTATTTTATCTAGAACGAGATTTTGTTAACGAGCTAATTCAAGTTTTTATCAAGAGATACTCATTTTCAACTCTAAAACTGAATAAATAAATAATTACGTTTTTACGATCTTTGCAATCATTATTTGCAATTATTATAGTTTCTTCGTGTCTCTTTTTGTGGCAGTTTATTTCTCTCGTATATCCTCGGATAGTAAACTTTGAACATGCATCCAACTACCGAGGACAAAGGCTACCGGACTTCGTCTCCGGGCTCGATCCTTGCACTCTCGTCCTACGGAATTATTTACCAAAGTTTCTACGCGACTAGAGAAATTTATGATGACCGCTGAGAAATTTAGCGTGAGTCCGACGGAGATTTCCTGGCAAAAAGCAAGCTGCCGTAGCACCCAGGCCGATGCATGTTTAAGTGTTCGATTAATACATACACAGATATCGAGCTTAACCCTTTCAGCATCAAAACTTTGAAGCGCAATATGCCGCATATTTGATTAATGTTCATGTGAAAATGTATTCGTGCTAATAAATGCATGACCACCACGTTGCTACCCTTTGAACATAAACAAATAAAGTAATAAAAAATGTAATCATAATTAAACATTATAAATTAAAAAAAAACAAATTTAGTAATCTTATCTCAGATACGGCAAAATTATGAAGATGACAATGAATTATCACATTTTAATGTTTTTAATAATTTTAAGTTTTGATACATCTTAATCTTCTCAGTTTATATAAGATTTAATAACTACCCATGAAATTACTTAAACCATTTCACAAAGTTAAACAAGATATCGCGGGCGTTCACTGAGTATTTAGAAGTGTCTACGTCATCGGAAAGGATTAATGTAACCAGAACCTCGGAGCAACGCGAAACGGAGGGCAATGCCGCAGGAAAAACGAAACAGCCGACATGTCATGGCAACGGCACGGGAATTAAATTACTCGGATTTATTGGACGTACGATAATAACGGCTTGACGTCCGGTTTTTCCTTTCTCTCTCTCTCTCTCTTTCTCTCTCCGCCTCTCTTTTTCTCCCTACTAAAATCTCTGGTTACACGTGGACGGGATGGATCGGGTTGCCCGATGCCTAATTAAAAGGGACGTTTTAATCGCCGCTAGTTGGCGACATTGATGCCTTTTATGGAAAAAGAGCTGCAAAACAATATACATCTTTGTCTCTTTGTTCTATTCGTCACTGAGAGCGCGATTGGATTAGGCAATGACGATAAAAAAAATTTCGTCAATTGATAGACGGATTACCTATACGGTGAGCTGAGTGAAAGAGAAATTAAAGAATCTTTTTTTTATATTTTAAGCGAGATTTTAAGTTATAGAAACAATAGAGCCGAAATGTGCGCGAGTTGTTCTCTTAATGCTCTTGAAATAGAAATCATGATGAAAGACAATGCAATTTGCACAATGCAAGGTACAAGTTTGCAGTTCTTGTTCCATACTCCGCTATCTGTTTTGTCCATCTTTGTCTACCCTGGTAATATCAAATTATCACGATAAGGAGAGAGACCTTAATAGCACTTAGCTGATGACGTTTATATTTTTATAAGCAGAAACAAGATAACATCTCGTGTTTTAGTTGGCCCGTGTCACGTCTTATTGCAAGCACCGTCGAAAATTGCATCGCAGCTGCACGAGATGCCCCGTGGCGGTATAAATGTAGAAGACATTTTAATTGACGATTGTAAAGCATCATAGAGGGAAAAGAAGATAATTAAGACCAAACATTTTATTTTATATCAATTTATTTCTACGTTGTAATTTATCTCTTCTCTTTTCTTTTTTTTTTCTCTTTTTAACGGATCGTATATCACCGAGCTGTTTTCTCGCTGAATAAATTAAACGATTACGAAGTGAGAGATATTTTAATTATTCACCAGTTTCATTGAACATTATTAGTAGGAAATAAATTCGTGATACGTTTTATTACTTTAATTCAAAGGTCTTATTTTGTTAAATATACTTCTAATCGATGCGCGCGTTGCGATATTAAATTATTAAAAAAAATCAAAAGGTAAAGTTCCATAAGTGGAACTGCAACAACTTTCTCCTTCTCGCATTTGGCGGAGAAAAATTCGTAAAAACTTCTCAAACGCTCCTTCGCTTTCTGTCCCGAAAAGTGTTTAATGAATCGCTCAATCTTTTGCGGACACACGCGATATTACCTGAGCGTAAAAATATTCCGCTTCCGCTCGGGGTAACAACTACTCGCCGGCGAATGATTAAAGCGCAAGGAACGTCAGTATCAAAATGATCACGTTCGAAAGCGCCAGTCGGCGCGCGGCTTATTCGGCGGCTTCGCGAGTTCTCCCTCATTATCGCGCAGGCACTCCCGGGGGGTGCACGACACCCACCAGCGAGTGAGTGAAGTGCACGCAAATTCGTAAGCACGAATCGCGATTTTATCGGCGGCCGGAAGTCCCATTAAAGTATCCCCATCGAGCGAACGAGCGAACGATGAGGAGGATGGAGGAGAGGGGCGACGGAGGCGAAGGAACGAGCGAGCGTCGCGTCTGGGGGCGACAATTAGTTCTCTTACCCTTATCTTTGGCATCTCAGCAGCTCTCGGTTCTCCCGTTACGCGAGATATATTGCAAACTATTCGAAGTGCTCGCGAAAACTTGCGAGACGCACACGAGACCTCTCGAATATGGTTCGAGGCACATCCCCCTTGTCCTCTTCTTCTTCCAGTTTCGCTCTATGTCGTTGTTGCTCGCCCCGGCTGTTACAAGAAGAAGCTTTCACGGGAGATCGATTATACCAGCGAGCGTAAATGCCTCAGGATAAAGTATCGTTCACATAAGGATTAATAGTATTGTACTGTGCCTGAGACGTAACCCACCGCGTTAAACTTAAAGTTGAAGTTTATTCATATAATAGAGAACAATACGTATAAAATGCTACAACGATCGTGCACTTTTCCTCAGTTATTTTCTCAAATAATTCAGCTAATTTTT